ATGGTACGTCCATGGGACGGTTTTGTACTCCCGACTTTCTTTGTCTCCTCCTAATATACTTGGAATTAAGGGATGATACACATACCAAATTGAAGGTCTACGAGTCTAGTTTCCAACGCATTAACCCGTTCGTCGATACAACATCGGAGTAGAGAGATATTTGTGTTTTTGTGGGTTGTGCCTGGTGCTGGCATTGCTCGTAACACCTGTTGGCTTTTGGCAGCGAAACGGTAGTCCGTCGTGCGCACGGTGCCGTGCGCGTGGGGATAAGTTCTCGAACGGCTTCTGACACTTAAAAGGAGGCACATCTCTTTGTATTTAATGAGCTTAATACCTATCTCCCATGATTTAATAAACATTATAGCGAGCTACCAAGATAATGAGGGCTAAACCTCACATGACACTCCATAAAGATAATGCCTCAAAATCTTGAGAGCATGAACTATCAAATAACATTCAAAGCATGGTTTTAGTCACAAAAAAATATTAAGTAAAAATTTGACTTCTTCAAAATGATAAATATTGATCATGATATTGACACACATATAAAGAATTTTATTCATTTATTCATGATCTTTTCTAATAATATTTATTTAAGTAACAAATTAAATTAACGTATACAAAAAAAACTTATTAGTAATTTGAAATTAGAATATCTTATGAATATTGTTTTTGTCTTAGTAACCATGTATATTATGATTCGTAATGTAGTAATAAATAAAAATGGACAATTTAGTTAATACTTTTATCATAATATTATAATTGATTTCAAAGTTATAAATATTAGGAAAAATAATTAAATGTCAATTTTATCCTATTTGAAATTTATTTTTAAGGGTAAAAAGGGTTTATTAATATTTCGCTCTGAATCTTTGTGATTTTATAATAGTTTTTATATATACTTTTATTGATTAAAGAAATATAACAATATGTATTGTGCTCGCAAGAAAAAAAAAATTGTCTTCTTTCTATTAAAATGAACTTGAAAATAGCTTTTAAATTTTTTTAGGAAAGCTCTTAGATCTTCAAAAGCTATGTATTCTTGCTAAAATTGAAAAGTTGATTATATAGAACTTGAACTAAGTTTAATTTGAATATATTGAATGATGATTGGGGAATTTTATAGAGTACAATTTCTCCCTTTATTGAGTTAGCTATATATAGGATCAATATTCATCAATTTACAAAATTTAAACTTTTTATTTTATACTCGAATATAACTTTTACTAAGTATATTTACATATTGCGATTAGGTAATTTTACCAAATAATAAAGACGGCTAACCAAAAAGAAAATTGTGTGTGAGATATAAGGCAAAAGAATTTAACCAAAAAGATCTCCTAAACCTAAAGGGTATTAACTACAAAATAAACACATTTAATACTCCAACATAGGGAGTTGAACGTAGGGACGAAAATTTAGTATAGGCAGAATTGTTTTATCTACAAAAAAGGTCGAACGAATAGGAAAACATTTAGGCAAAATTTTATTAACTTTCTTAGAGTGTTAATGATAAGAGAAATATATTTACATATATTTTTGAATATATCTTGTGGCAATTGACAAATAGGATTCTAGTTTGATAATTCAAAATGAGTTGGAGAAACGTATTGTCAACTACCGAGCAATCGTCGTGCGCACACGTACGTTTTATGACTCTTTCTCTCTGTGTGTTGTATTTATATAAAACAAGGTATCTTTTCATATTTTATGGCAACAAATAGTTCACTTTCTCTGTATGCCAACTGGAATATTTCCAATAATAAATCGGGGTACTAGCATTTTACTTATGTCATTTTCCGTTTGATGGAGCCTCGTTTTAAGTCTAATCGTATAGTATTGTATTATTATTGTGTACTATATCATTTTGATGTATATAATATTTGAATAAATTATATTGTGTGTCATCGTTTCATAATATCATGCACAAATAATGTAAAGAATAAACTTGAAATATTATAAAGAAAAAGTAAGGTACGGGGTGAAATTATTATATAAAAAGGTAAGGTAAAAAATAAATTAAAATATGATTATTTAATAATAAAGAAGGGCAAGATGAGAGAAAAAAATATGGAAACGATGCGACCACACCAAATCGGTCGTTCCATAAAGTAACACATTTCGTCATTACGTAATGACGGATTTAACGATACGATACAATAAAATTTAAGTAACAATCAAAACAAATATTATATTTAAAATAACAATAGCAACCGGTAACAACCATGCAAACAACCTGTAAGTCTATATAAGGAGTGATATATCTTTGCATCTGTCCCAACATACACACAAAAAGGAACATTTCCAACAATAAATTGTACGGGGTAGCATTTTCCATAAAATGGAACCTTTTTTTAAGTCTATATAAGGAGTTTTATATCGTTGCATCATCTATCCCAACATACAAAAATGGAACTTCCCATCCTTTCCATCTTTCTCTTCTTCATCTCTCTTTTATGGTTCATTATCAAACCATATCTCCATTCTAAGGCGAGAAAGCTACCACCTGGTCCTACTGGTCTCCCAATAATTGGGTCACTGCTAAAGCTAGGTTCTAAACCAAACCGATCATTAGCCGAGCTAGCCAAAATACATGGCCCTCTCATGACTCTAAAGCTCGGCTCAGTCACAACCATAGTAGCCTCCTCGGCCGACATAGCCAAAGAGATCCTCCATAAACACGACGAAACATTCTCAGCACGCATTGTTCCCGTTGCTGTTGCTGCCCAGCCGAACCCAGAAGCAACCCTAGCATGGGTCAACGGCGATCACTTGTGGAAGAAAAAGAGAAGATTTCTTAGCACGCAGATGTTCACTAACCAAAGACTCGATTCGCTCCAAGAACTCCGTCACCAAAAGGCTGCACAACTAGTGAGTCACATAAGGCAGCAAAGTCAAAGGGGTGCAGCTGTTGACATAGGACGTGTTGCTTTTGCAACGACGTTGAATTTAATATCGAATACCGTTTTCTCCATTGACATGGTGGACCCTGAATTCAAGACAGCTCATGAATTCAAGGAATTAGTTTGGACAATTATGGAGGATGCTGGGGTACCTAACTTGTCTGATTATTTCCCGGTTTTAAAGCGGTTTGATTTGCAAGGAGTGAAGCGTCGTATACAGCCAGCATATTTAAGGTTGCATGAAATATTTGACCAAGTAATTCAGAAGAGAGTAGAAGCTAGAGCCAAAGGGGTGCTGAAGACAGGTGATTTCTTGGACGTACTACTTGATCAATTTGAAGAAGCTGATGTGACTGGATTTGGCACAGAGATCAAGCCTCTTATGGTGGTAAGTGCTTCTTCTTTTTCTTTTTTCCTTTTAAATTTTATTTGAAATTCACCTTATATTCAAATGAAATACTTAGCAGTTTAAATTATACTTCCTATTTTTCAATTAAGTTGAACCTTTTCGGAGTCCGAGAGTCAAATTGACTAATTTTCGATATAAATTCTTTAAGTTTTTTTTAGAATCTATATATTTAAAAATTAAATAAAAAAGTATTATAAGCCATAACAACTAGCAATTCAAAAAATTTAAAAATTATTTCAAAAACAGATATGGTCAAATAACATCCTGTTTGATTTTTCAAATAGTAATAAGTTCATTCTTTTTGAAGTAACGAAAATATATACAATCATAGTTTTTTATACCACTAAGTTAGTCGGATATTTATAGGTAAGCCTTATTTAAATGTAGGACTTATAATCTGAAAAATAAGACAAATTATCTATTACATCAGGTAAATATAATCTGGTGTAAAAATTCTTTACACTAAGAATGTATAACTTAAACTCAAACAATATTATTTATTTTTGTGTTGATTTTGGGTGCGAGGGGAAAATATTATCAAACGTCAAATTCGTTTACACAAAGAATGTATAACTTAAACTAGACAATATATTGTTCGAACATATAATCGTAAATTTCCTTTTTACTCTATTTGGTATAGCCTACGTTTCAGCTTATGCAAACCTATTTTCTTTTCAATCAGTTTACAAAAGAGTGATTTCTTTATAAATTTAAAAATAATTTAATTTAAACTTACAGTTTTACCATGATGACATGCTTTAGATCAGAAGTGCTAAAAATCAAATTTAAATTTTTTTATTTCTTTCTTAAATTTCGAGTCGAATCAAATATATTTGCATAAATTAAAATAGAAGGAATAAAATATTTTAAGTTAACGTGGGCGTAGATCATGAAGTTATCACTCCGTAGAGATTGATCAGAAACAAGTTATGTAGTGATAAGTAACGCAAAAATTAATTATGCAACGATTGAAATGTAGATATTTTTTTTTATCGAGTGTTTGAATCTTTATATTAGGAAGGGAATATATAGGGTAAAATTTAAATATATGAATCTTTTTAAACATAATAATTGAAATGGTGTTGATGATCGATTTGTGGAAAAGATAAAGACTAATTCTATCTTTTGATATTTAAAACATATTAACTAATTCATGCATTGTCATCCACTATATAGTAGGTATAACATAACAGATCAATTGGTGTATTAAATTAAAAAGGAGTTAGCTATAATGGATTTAAAATATAAATCAATCATGTAAAAAAATCAATACTATTTTTTATATCATGATTATATTATCTAAAACATCAAACCAAACGAGCTCTTATTGGTCTAGTAAGTAGTTGTCATCCAGCTGGGCTCCAAGTCTCCTAGATTCCTCAAATCATTGCTTTTGTATCCTATTTAGGTGACCCGCATTCATAATCGGTTCTAAACAAATAACATATCTCTCCTTTTTAGCCCAAAAAAATATCTTTCTCTTTATATAAATATATTTATTTTATTTTTATGTATTCTTAATAATATGACTTGAGTGCATTTAGGTGGAGTATAAAGTTGAAACTTACCATTATATATATATATATATA